CAGACATTTGGGTACAGATCTCTGAAAAAAAGAACTTTTAGACTACAGTAGCCAGACATTGGCCCCTGCCACACGGGACGGCTGAAACGCGGCTACTCAGAGCCGCTCCAAAATTGAGACGCCGCGGCGGGATCCCACAGATCCCCTGAGCCGTGGCGCATCGCTCCCCGGCACGAACAGATGCCGGGGAGGAAAAGTCCGAAGGGAGGGGGAGGCTGCCAAACTGCGCATGCTCGAGCATGCGCAGTACGGCCGGGGGCCGGGATGCAGCGGCGCAAGGAAGCGCCGCCGATCCCATGGCCCAGCTTGAGGCACAACAGTGGATGCAACCACCTAGATAGGTGGTTCTTTTTTACGCCGCGGTATCTGCATTCGGGACGGATCAGGGACGGAGACGGCATGCTCCCCAGATGTTGAGGTGGGATCGCGCCCGTTTGCTCCGCCTCCGTTCCGTCCCGCTCCCGGCCCAAATGGGCTCGTATGAACAGGGCCATTCTTCCTAATACGGGCACTTTAGAACATTATTTAAATACTAATAATGAAGACTGCTGAGTTTGTTGTATTTTCTTATGAGAGCAAGAGGGGACCCTATAGCACATTTTGGGCATTCCTTCAAAGTATTGTGGAAGATGTGGGCACCTTCGCCAAAATAAAGTGGATTTGAACTTGTAACCTCAAAGAAAAATAGAATGCTATTTTAAAGCACCCAATCCCCCTTAGAATAGAAAATATTTGAATTTCAGATGAAAGGCACAGAACAATACCAAAGCCTCTTCAGAGTATTAACACCTGTTATAGGATTTACAGCCGATAGAAAAGATCAACTGTATCCATTTCAGAGCTGGTTTTTTCCATTTATTTATGTAGTCATTTGACAGAATTTATATAAGGTAGTCTGTGCCAGCCAAAAGAGGATAGCATGTGCTGCGTGCAAGCATACTTAGGCAGGGGGAGCAATTAGTTCAACCATAAAATTTTCCACCTCTGTATCAACTCACATCCCTACAGCTGGTGCAGCTTCTTCCAGTGGAACCCAGCAAAGGCTTCCCCATCATTTGGCTCTTGGTTTACAACTTCCTGCAAGTAACAGTAAATGGCAGCAGAGAACTGAGCTGGAAGATGATCAGTTCTTTGAGGTGGAGAATTTCTTTTCCCTCCAAGCTTTCATTATTACACTTGTTTAGCTTGGTAATATTGTATCCAAAGGCTGCAGGCTTTAAATTGATTAACTGGCATGGTGATTAACAATGTAGTTGTATAAACTCTAGAAACAAGGAAGTTTTTATTTGCACCTGCATGCTTCACAGAGATCAGTAACTTCCACAATAGGACTGCCAACCATTCCACCTGGAAAATCCCACAGCTAACAGCAAAACATTTGCTTCCATCCTTCTCTAAGGGTACACAATCCAAATTGATTCCCCATGCTTGCTGGGGTTCTGTATAACCCAAAGCCTGCAGCTAACCTGTCCACAACAACAGAAGTACAAAGAACTCCTCAACTCCCAGATCATCATTCTTGTGACCCGCCCAAAGCACCAAATCCAGAGTGTGTCCTGCTACATGTATCAGAATGGATGTTAATGAAGACAGACTTAGGGTTGCCGAGAAACCCTGAACAGCTCCCCACAGCACATCCCCTTGGCATGGATTTTGGTCTCCCAGAACCAAAAGTTTGGGGGCCTTGTGGACCAATGCCAAGAGCCGTGGCCAACTCATGCAAGGAAACAGTGGTATGTCATTGGAATCCCAATCTTCTCTCAGGAGTCCTACATCAGAAATAAACACTAAAGATTCAATAAATGGGAAATAGGTCATCTGGTCTAGGTGATGGAATCACAAAAAACAAGGCCCTTCCATCGTGGCCACTGCCACCACCCCACACACAGACAGAGCACCCAGTTTGAGCCTACCATATGAATAGACCTTGTGGGCACATTTGAAACAGACTTCCTCTACCACTTCCATCTAGTGAGATCTCAGCAGTATGTGCCAGGATAGCTATCCTGGATGATAGTTGTTTTATTATTTACAGTACTGGCTTAGGACTTTCAGACCACGGGTATGGCACCAAAAGTTACTGTGGTTGGAAGGTGATCAGAAGGTAGCAAAGTGTGCAAGTTTTTGAGCTTCCTTCTCTTAACTTGGTCACTGTGTTTCCTGCAAGTATACCTCCCCTTGCCTGACATGCTGTAGACATAATGCCACCCCCAACACCCTCCAAACACATTCTGTCCTTGGCAACAGCAGTACTACTACTCTTGGCTAAGTAAATAATTTTATTCTTGGTTAACATTATACCAGTTTGGTGTAGTTGTTAAGAACGCAGACTCTAATCTGGGAGAACCAGTTTTGATTCCCCACGCCTCCACATGCAGCTGCTTGGGTCAGTCACAGTTCTCTCAGAGCTCTCTCAGCCCCACCTACCTCACAAGGTGCCTATCAGGGGGAGAGGAAGGGAAAGGCAATTGTAAGCTGCTCAGGGACTCCGAGTGAAGGCCAGGGTATAAATCCAATCTCTTCTTCTTCTACCTTGATTTGAGAATATGTTCAAAACTGCAAGTAGTACAGAAACAATGACATCTTAGTGCCAGATGAATAAATTAATAGAATGAGTTCCTTTTGCAATATATGAGGGTACCTGTTAAAACAAAAGGTTTAAACAAGTGAAATCCATTACTACCAGGAAATCCTGCATTCTGATGAGCTGTGCTCTTGTGTGTTGAAGTTGGCAGTCATCATTGCTGTCCCTCCTTGGTAAGATGTTGTTATGAACATGCCATTGGTCTCTGGCTGGCATCCAAGGTTTGATCATCTGCATTGTCGTATTGTCTGAATTACCTTTCAGCTCAGTTATTCCAGCGATGAGTTCTTACAGTCATTTCTCTTTCTTCAGATACTGCTAAAGGAAAGATGCTTGTAAATGCTTTGTTTGTTTGTTTGTTTTTAAAACACAGCATCAGATCTAACACTGATAATTAAGGAGCAAAATAGTGAAGTTTTATTTTTTTGCTTTATTTAGAGTTCACCTACAGAAGATTAAGAAAAAAGTGCAATAAAAGTATAATACATTGGATAAACAATGCAATAAAACTGCCTAATTTTTGCACAGACGTGGGCTGCACAATCTTGAGGGCCGCTGCATCCGTGGGCGGCCAGTCGCTACCACGAAATGGGTGCCACTGCCCCATTCCCCAGGGACATCCCACAGGGCGAAATAACATCGATTTATTTTATTTATCTAAAACATTTTATGTCCCCTTTCCAACCAAATAGGGACTCCATGATGGTGAATACAAGAATATAAAAACAACATTTAAGATGCTATATAAAATAATAAACACATAAACACACATAACCCCAACCAGGTAGAGGGGTCAATAACAATTATGGGGGAATGCCAAATGAAACAAAAAAAAAGTCTTCACCTGCTGTCAGAAGACAGCTCTAGAGGAAGACAAATCTCCTTGGGGAGGGAGTTCCAAAGTTTTGGCACCACAACTGAGAAGGCCCTTTTTCAGGTGCCACTCATCTAGCTTCAGATGGGGGGACATCAGATGGGAGGAACCCAAAGCAGGGTCTCTGAAGATTTCCAGAGTGGACAGGTAGGTAGAAGGCAGTCCATATGGGAGAAGGCGCCCCTCCACAAGGCGCAGATGGCCTAGCAAGCGTGCTGGAATCCATAGTAATGCCGGCAACATCCACCAATCAGAAAACAGTAGCTGATGATGCCCCTATAAGGGGCCTTCCCCAGGAAGGACCTGATTGCCAGCAAAAGTGCTGCCCACACACAACCATCCCCGCTGCAAGCCTCACACCTTCTTCCCATTAAAAAGAAAAGAAGAAACAATATAGTGGTCAGGCTCAAATCCACACCCCCACACCCAAGACCAGGGTGTGGGTCAAGAGGGTAAGTTCAAAGGAGGCATGGCATGAGGCATGAGGCACTCCAGTACAGCCTCGTCACCACTAACCAGATGGGGCCAGGCAGAGACCATTGCACTGAGAGGCATGCTTAGTGGAAAGGCACTTGGGATAGCATTCCCGGGACTCCTGATTTGATCCCTGCATGCAGAGAGGCCAGTGGCAGCAAAAGCCTTGAAAGTTTTGTCTTAGAGCCACACGTACCCTTGGACTATCCACCAACCTGTGCCTCCATGCAAGCGGCACACAGCCGCCAGCACAGTCTCTGTGTGGGAGGGCATCTTTTGCAAGGAGAAAGAAGTAACCAAAATTGCATATTCATAATGGACTGGGAAATCCTTGGAAATGTGACTAGCTTTAATTGATGGAAAGTATTTGACTATATCGATTGTTTTTTTCGAAGAAAAAAATTAACATTGAACAAAACAGCTCATAAAAAATGAAAATAATATATCGTGAAATTCTATATTCACATCGTCAAGAAAAGGGGTGCTGGCGTGAAGGAAACTCTATCGCTGACTTCCACCAGCGGGGGGGAGACTTTTTTTTGTTTTGTCTGGCATGAATTTACTAACTCATTGCTCCTCCTCCCTCCCCGTTCGTGTCTCTCTGTGTTTACATGTTTTATTTAAAGGTTATAAATATTTTGAATATTTTATATGTGTGTGTGTGTGTGTGTATTCATATTTAACATTGTTTGGATTGATTGCTGCCTTTGGGACCCTAAGTTGGGTGGGATGGCGGTGTACAAATGTTTAAATAAATAAGTAATAGTGAAATTATGGCCCACAGGAAGATGGTGGTCTTAAGAGTACTTGAGTGGCACAGGTAGAGGATAGTTTCCCGTCTCTTACTACCACTTGCTGAGTGCCCCACAGCATTCTGTTCCTGGGAGTCAGAGGACCTTCAAGAACAGCGGAGGGCACAAAGTGGGAATCTGCAATAAGAGGGAGAAATGAGTCGGAATCCCCCCTCCTCTACCACCCTCCATCACTGGAAATGGACCATAGGATGTGTATTTCTATCTATTTACTTTATAGTTATGAACTAATTACTGGCATCTTTGTTTCCTGTAGGTACCTGCACAAGAATAAATATCTAAGAATTATTGATGAAGATGCATTTATGGGAGTGCAGAGTGGTCCATCACTACTGTGAGTAGGGGGGGGGGGGAAGGAGGCTTTAAACAATATATTTTATTGAGGATATAGATGTCTTCTAACAATGCTTCCAAATGGCTCCTTCTCGTAGTAATGATTGTGCCAAATAGGAAGTGGAAGAAAAACTAGCTACTTTCACTTGCTTTGCTCTGCTCCACAGTTGCTGTGATGCATGTGCTGATCCGGTTTTGGACTAGCAGCCGTGTTCACAGATCCTGTGTGGTTTGCAGGTATCAGGCACTTGACACTTGCAGTCTCTCCATATTGAGCCATGAAGCTATTAAACCTAAATTTCTATTTAATATCCATGAGAAACCATAGCGATCCAGGATTCGTTTTGTTTCCAGACTTCTTTTTAGCAGCTCTGGGGCAGAAAAGCCATTCTCTACTTTCTCAAACACCTGTTTTCAGAGCTGTAGCCATGCACAGGACAGCCTTGAGTGTAATCCCTGAGAAGTTGTTGAGTTGACCAGCCTGGTTCTCCTGGCTGAGGCATTCCTCAGCCCCTGCCATGGTGCTGGCCAAGGCGGCAGGCTTGCCCTGCAGGCTGGTCGGGGTGGCCGGAGCAGAAGAAAGCCCCAGCTCCTGTGGAGTCTCTGGGCTCTGCTGCAGTGGGAGCCTTGGTGCTGCCAGGCGGTAGAGGCTTGGCTTGGACCACCAGTACCGGGAAGCAGCACCTCCCAACCTTCAGGCACAGAATCACCCTCCACCTCTTTCCACTGCAGCCTGCCTGGGCCAGACGGCAGCGCCTTGGTCTGGTCACAGAGCTCCCGCAGCTTGCTTGTCAGCTTCTGGTTGAGCTCGTCCAGCTTGAAAATAAATCTGATACAGTGGTTCCTGAGCTGGTCTGTACCACTGCCGTTGCAAACCTATGCCCCAATTGTTAAAATAAAAAGGAATCTAATTTCAGTAATTGGGGAAAAAAACCACACAGAGCTTCTGCCACATGACTCCTCTCCCATACAAATTGCAGCCCTGTGCAAAGCATGGTGGAGTTGCAGCGCACGCACACACATATTTTGCCAACGATCACAGCTTGCAATGTCACTGTCAGTGTCAGTGGATTCTACCGTGCATTTTGTACACTCAGCATGTTCCCCCATGTTATGAGATTGTGTGATTCTTTCCCATTTTTCACAGTGGCTGATAACACAGCAGGGAATCCCCTAGTGCTTGGCAATATGGAAAATGGGACTTCACAGCCATTTGTCAGTTGCAGGAAAAGTCTGGTCAGTTTCAACATCGGACCAGTTCAGCAAAGGAAGTTGTTCAGCTCTCAGTCTGCTGTTTCCACCAGTTGTACTGCTCAATTTCCCACTATTTGCTGCGCAGCCGCATTTTTGACCTGCATCTCCCACCAATTTCCCCTGTGTCTTCTTGATCCTAAAAAATAAAGATCTAGAAGATGTGGGGGATATGGGGGGAAGATGTGGGTCAAAATGTAGCCGTGCAGCAAATAGTGGTGAATTGAGCGGTACAACCAGGGGAAGCGGGAGACAGAGGGCGGAACAACCGCTTTTGCGGAATTGGTCTGGGTTTCCCCCCTCTGCCTGTGTTCCTTTCTGATCCCTTTCCTTCAGTGAACTAATGCTAAAATGCATGCACAAAACCTGAACCACAGGATTTAAATGGAAGGTGCTTGCTGGACGCTACCGCACAGCTATGATAGGGCAGTTACTTAATTTTTAAAAAAATCTTTGATCACCACCCCCACATGTCACAAATGACATTCCACCCTGATGTGTTTTTTTAAATTGTAGCTGCAGAATAAATACACTGGAGGAAAAACAATGGTGCATAAGGCGAGCATGGGATCCGAAGTCAAGATTAAAGTCTTACTGCTCTGAAAATCTGCAGTAAGATGTAGTTGCATAATGGGACTTTTTAAAAAACCAAGCAAACAAAAGCCTGAACTCCTTGAAGTTATGTAGGGCATCAGTTTCTAAAATGACTTCCAAGATAGTGCAATAACTCTGTGAAGGAGGTTGGAGAACAGATTAGCTGCCATGGGGTGCCCACCTGGCTGTGTTTTGTGGAGACAAATAATAGTTTTGACACCGGCTCAGCTTCAACATTTGTAGAAATAGTTATGTCCAGGGTCAGTGCAAAAAAATACAAGTAATACAAACCAGATGAAAACACCATGGGAAAAAATTAATTTCTAATCATTTTTTATTAAAGCAAAGTCTTTATAAACTTGATATGCGGTATGATGTTTGTTGTTCCTTCATTATGTGGTCACATGTTGTATTGTTTGATATTTTAAAATATCATGCTTAATTGTATTTACTTTTACTTTCTTGGCTTTCAGCAGTCCTGCTTTGGTTCTCTTGGTTTGATTCCCTAACAGATGACCCTTTTAATATACTCCAAATCCATACATCTAAACCTATTTAAATACAGTTGTTTGCATAAGCATTCTGGAGTTCCCATTACTTGACATAGCATTCAATCATAAGAACACTTCTCTGGGAACAAGTGCCATTAAATAAAATGGGACTTACCTCTGAGTAGACCTGGATCGTTCCCATTATTACTTATGTTGACTAGACAGTAGGATTTAGTTTATTGTATCTCAGACCACGAGATTTAAAAAAATAGTTTATAATCTCATTTATGATTATGGCTAAAGTGCCAAGAGTCTAGTTGGAGCCTGTTCTTGTCAGCTTCAATGTGAATTACACAAAATCAGATCCTCTTCGCATACATACCCAGGAGCATGATAGTCATTTCCTCAAGGTGATCTAATTCAAAAAGAGGTTGTGTTTTAATATTACAACCCCATGAAGGTGGGGCAGTCATGTGAATGTTTCCCATGAGTCAGCACACTCAGTAGTGTCACCAGGTTTCATGATGGTTTCCCCCTTTTATTTACTGAGAAATTCAAGTAAATAATCAGCAGTCCTGCTCCTGGGGGAAAGGAGACCAGCGGAAGGGGGGCATTGAAGCTCTGCAGCGGGAGGGGGAGCTCAACAAAAACCACCTCCCTCCATCCACAGAAATCTTCCATGGGATCCAAGCTCTTCCATTTTATTTCTCCCTTTCTCCAAGTGGCTCAGAGCAATCTGCGTGGTTTTCCTGCCTCCAGTATGTTCTTACAACAAACTCATGAGATGAAAAGGGCTACAGACTTTGGGGGAGGGGGGGGATGAAAGATGGTAATTCAGAGGATCTAGCAGGCTGTGGCACTAGATTGTTATGGACAATATGGACATTACTGTTTTAAAAGCAAAACACCAAAAAATAGCCTGCTAGTGGTGCATGGAGTAATGGTGGCCATGGGGGGCTGAAACAAAACAAGTGCAGGGGAACAGCCATGTGGACTGTCCATTGCTGCTGCAAATTCCTCTATATTCACAGCAGCAATGAGACCTACATTGCCATGTTGACGCAGCCATTGTTTCCAAAAGCCATCCAGGCAAGCAGCCACAACCTTTTATGCTAATGTCTGACAGTCAGATCACTTATCAGTATGTGATGAGGTGAGTAGGGGGGGAAACAGAACTCTCCACTAAACCCTAAGCATTGATCTGGGCATGAGATTCAAAGCAAGGAGATGCCTGCTTCACCAAAAAGCTGCCTATAATACAGTTTGACTTCATTCTATTATTGGGACTACATTGGCTAATCTGAACCAAACCTAGCTTAAAAATGAAACTTGAAGTGAATGTATTAATAATTTCTTATCTCAGTGGCAGAGCATCTGCTTGGCATGCAGAAGGTCCCAGGTTCAATCCCTAGCTTCTTCAGTTAAAAGATCTGGCATTAGGTTATGTAAAAGAGACCCTGGAGAGCCACTTCATAAGAACATAAGAGAAGCTAATGTTGGATCAGGCCAATGGCCCATCCAGTCCAACACTCTGTCACACAGTGGCCAAAAATACCAGGTGCCATCAGGAGGTCCAGCAGTGGGGCCAGGACACTCTGAGTAGGCAGTACCGACTTTGATGGACCAAGGTTCTGATTCAATATAACACAGTTTCATGTGTTCATGTGAGGGATTTTGACACAGATCTGGGTTCTGTAGTTTAGACTTTTGTTCAACATGAGCGTGAAATTGCTCATGTAATGGAGGACTGTGAACTTCTTGCTTGTCCAGGGAATTTTCCCTAAGAAGCTTAAGAAAGTGATGGTGAGACCTTTATTGAAAAAGCCAACACTGAGTCTTCTGGTGCTGGCTAATTATAGGCCAGTCTAGGATGAGATTATTGAATGGTGCTGACTGGACAGCCATGGAAATATCTAGATGACATATTGAGTCAGTTCAGAAATACCTGGATGATGACACATCTCTCCTTCTTCCATTTCATTCAGGCTTCAGGTCTCACTTTGAGGCAAATACATATTTGGGACATTTTTGATGGTTCCGATGGACAAGCTCCATTTACACTGGGATAAAGGAATCTGCCTCGCTACTTGGCTACATTGGGTTCTGTGCTTTTTTCAGTGGTATTTGAGAGGGAGAGAGAGAGAGAGAGAGAGAGAGAGAGAGAGAGAGAGAGAGAGAGAGAGAGAGACTCTAAATATTATACGAGCTCATCAGGAGATTCAGTGTAGGTTATCATCAGTATGTGGATGACACACAGCTTTCTATATCACTACATAAGTCACAGCACTGTGCCATCTCTGAGCCTTAAAATAAACTGAAATTGAGTCTTAGCAAAACAGAAAAAGAAGAGTAAGAAGAGTTGGTTTTATACCCTACCCTTCATTACCTGGAGGATTCTTAGAGCAGCTTACAATCACCTTCCCTTCCTCTCCTCACAACAGACACCCTGTGTGGTAGGTGGGGCTGAGAGAGCTCTGAGAGAGCTGTGACTGACCCAAGGCTTTATGTGGCTTTATGTGGAGGAATGGGGTATCAAATCCGGTTCTCCAGATTAGAGTCCACCGCTCTTAACCACTATACCAAGCTGGCTGGTGAGGTGATGCTGGTGGCTTTGGAGGGAATCTTACTCCCCACATTAGGGAGTCCAACTTTTTTTGACAGACAC